TTGAGAGAAAAGTCACCATGATATCCAGGGATTTCAGTTTGCATGGAGGCCAGAATTCTTCACTTAGAAGTGTTTATGAGGTCAGGCATCTTCTGTTCTTCCAGGACCACAGAGAATCACAGATCAGGACCCTAGGGGAATAGGTGACTGGGGGACAGTGACAGGCTGAGAAGTGACAGCTGATGGGAGTATCCATTCCAGCCACCACCCAGGGATCAGGGCAGGTCTTGCAACCACCCAGCTTTCCAAGGGCATTACTGTCTGAGAACCCAGAGGAGCTAGGAAAGTATAGGAGCAGCCCTTAGCATCCATTGAGTCAGGGCTCCCCTTTAACAATGAGGAGACTGAAGCAGGGAGGCTGAGTGAATTGCCCAGAAGCTGATGTTCCGGGAGATGGCTTCAGAATGACTCCTTGGAATGGCTGTGGGTCACCCATTCAACCACACCTAGGGAATACCTGCTGTATTCAATTCTGCTAAATTAGGTGGAGGAAAAAAATCATGATTCTGGAGGGGCAAATGATTACATAAAAAGTTTCTATGCTTCGAAAAGTAAGCTTCAGTTAACTGCAAAAATCAATTACGTGGAACACCTTATGTTCCCCAAATGTCAGTAAAATGAGGTATTATGGGTCTACACATCACACGAGGGGAAGACTTAGGGGACCAGTTCCAAGAGGTGGTGCGAGATGAAAACAGCCATGGACCATTGACTCCAAATAGATTGAGTAAGTGCGTGGATAATAAGGTATTAAGGGAAAGTAGGAGTGGGGGGGAGGGGGACCTCTCCCTCACTGATGCTACCATCAGGCAGGGGGTACCACTGTGCTATCCCCCCCAGAATGATGCCAGAAACTAGTCACAAGCCTGGATGGACGTGACCTAGCCTAGGGAGCTACCTCTTTGTCTCTGGCTGAGCACCCTGTTTATGGGGCCTCCCAGGGGTCCCAGGTCTCTGGGACTGGAGGGACCTGGGACGCCTGGGTTTGCCAGGAGCTGCCTGGATGGGCGGCAGGATAGTACAGGCCTGGATCGTGCTCCAGGCATACACACTTCCTGATCTTCACACCTCTGCGACCGTGGGTACCAAGGACTGAATGACTGTGTCCCTCCCCCAAATTCATTTGAAGAGCCAATCCCCAACACAGTAGTATTTGGAGCTGGGGCCTTTGTAAGTGACTAACACAACACTAGGTCTTGAAGGTGGAGCCCTCGTGATAGGATTAGTGCCCTTATAAAGGAAACATGAAACTAATAGAATGTGACATATCCATTATATCTAAATTTTTAAAATTAAATTAATTGTGTTTTAAAGACACATGAGGAACAAGACCTTTCTCTCTACCATATGAGGACACAGCTGTCTGCAAACCAGGAAGAGAGCCCTCACCAGTTACCGAATCATCCAGCACCTTTATCTTGGACTTCCCAGCCTCCAGAACCATGAGAAATGAACATCTGTTGCCCCAGTTGCCCAGTCTATGGTGTTCTGTTAGAGCGGCCTGGACTGACAGTGGGCAAATCATTTCACCTCTCTGAGCATCAACTTCCTCTTCTGAAAAATGTGGATGGTGTTATCATTTGTCCCCTTCCTTTTTTCCTTCCTCCGTCCATTCCTTCCATAGATATCAGGAGTATAGAGTAAAAAAAGGCATGTACAAAAGATCCTGAGATGTCCGAAGTCTGAAGCCCTAAAGAAATATAATTTTAATAATGTCATGTGGAACCAGCTAACCCAGTGCCTCTACCATCACCATGGTTACCACAAGGATGCTACCCTCTTGAGAGGATGACAAACTGCCCCAGGCAACAGAAACTCATATACAGGACAGTGCCCCTAGCACTGCAGAAAGACTGGACTTTGGTGTTAATAATGCATGTCAATAATCCTTTCCTAATTACCAATTAATAGTCATAATAAGTCAACAAGCATGAATCATAAGTATCAATCAAAAGTATCCGATTCAGCTTGGCGTCAAGGTAGATCTGTCAAGAGTGGAGCCTCAGAGCAGCAACCACAGTCGTAAACACAACCATAATCACAGCCACAGCCGGAATCACAATCACAACCATCGTCACAACCACAGTCATAATCATGATCATCATGGCAGCTCACACTTATAGAATGCTGCACTCACTGCCAGGCCTGGTCTGGGAATGGGTCTGCTGGATTTCAGCCAGGAAGCTTGTTGAGGCAAGGGCGGTGGTGAAGAGGCTGGAAGGGAATTTGTGAGAAGTTTCTCTTCTTGGAGAAGAGAGGCAGGGGGAGGGTAAGGCAGACCTTAAGCCCCATGACTGGGGGCAGCATCATTCTTGCTCACTAGTATTTGCCCAACACCCAGCACAGAGCTTGGCACATACTAGGCACTCAAAAAAATGTTTACTAGGGACTTCCCTGGAGGTCCAGTGGGTAAGACACCATGCTTCCACTGCAGGGGGCACAGGTTCCATTCCTGGTTGGGAAACTAAGATCCCACATGCCATGTGGGATGGCATGGCCAAAAAATAGAAAAAACAACAAAAGCAAACACAAAAAAATTTTTTTAATGTTTTCTAAATGAACGGCAAGGGGCCTGGCCAGGATGTCCCTAGGGAAAGAGCAGAAGTTTCCTGGTGTCCAGAAGCACATCTGGGCTTGAAGTTAGTGAATCAAATTCTGTTTCCCTGGGTCTTTGATTCCCAGTAACTTCACGTGCTTGAAGACCATTCACGCTGTAGGTCACATTGGCCTTGCTTGGAGAACTGGATAATCCTGGCATCATCAACATCTCCTAACCTATGACACAGGCACGCATGTACACACACATGTCTCCAGGCTGCAGAGTGGAAGCCTGCCCTTTTCAGCAGGAGCCAAGGACCCTCCCTGGGCTGGGTGCCCTCACCCCAGATCCAAAGGACTCAGGAGGCGGCTGCCTTCTGCCTGGGCCCCCTCCACTAGGATCTGATTTTCTCATCATCTGGATAGTCTCAGCAACTCACAGCAAAGGGATGAACCAGCCTGACCTTTCTGGAGGTTTGTTTAAAGCAGAACAATGTTTGTCTTGTCCAAACACTATGAATTACTCCAGAGAATCCTGCCCAGTTTTACAATCCGCAGCTACAAACGGCTTACATAAATAGGGATTCGTCCCCTCCCCGTTCCCCCTCTGTTCCTAACAGCTTCTCCCCACATCCCAACTTCCCTCCACTCTTCCAGGCCTCCCCCTGTGCCCCCTCACCCTTCCTCTCTGAGCCCCAGCCTGGTGAAGGGCAGGTGTCCGTGGTTCCAGGCGACAGCTCGCACCTGGGTTATTGCTGGCACAGATCCCGCCGGTGGGCTGCTCTCCCCGGCGTGGGCCAGGTTTGCCTGACTCGCAGGGAGGGGAGGTGGGGGCGCCCTCTGGGCACATTTGTACTGTCTGTGTGGGGCCTGCAGTGCACAGAGTTAGGTCCAGCTGGGAAAGTGTGTTGGGAAGAGGAGGCCCCTAGGTTTGGGGGCAAAACACCCAGTCACCCTGCAACCCACTTGGACCATTCCTTGTCTGACAGGATGCTCAGCACCCCCACAGCTGCTGCTTCATAGGCTGCACATTCAGGGGATCTGAGGTTTCTTCTTAGAAGTGCACCCCACCCACTGCGGGCCTCCAATGGTGGTGGGTAACAGTAAATGTCGTTCTGCCCATCGAATCAGGGCCACAAAAAGCAAGAAGAGCCCATGGTCCCACTAGGGAACGGACTGCTGGGGAAAGATCTCAGTTTGGGCTGGGCTTCCCTAAGTATTGTTTCACTCCCACATGCACTGAAAAGCTTTGGGGAGCTTGTTTAAAATGTAGATTTCTGGGGACTTCCCTGGTGGTACAGTGGCTAAAACACTGCCTTCCCAATGCAGGGGACCAGGGTTTGATTCCTGGGCAGGAAACTAGACCCCACAAGCCATAACTAAGAGTTTGCATGTTGCAACTAAAGATCCTTTGAGCCCCAACTGGAAAAAAAAAAAAAGATTTCTCTCCCCGGCCTAGAGAAGCCTGGAGGGTTGAGGGGAGGAGATGACGTTCAGGTCTGAGATTCACCTCCCTGCATGAAATCCTCTCCAGGCAAGTCCCCGGATTAACTGGCTGGATGACACCCGCCAGCCAACCACTTTGAGTCTCAGTTTCCTCATCTGTACAAAGCCCGAGAATCTTTAAAAGGCCCCTTCCAGCTCTTAGAATGTGGTTTCAAGGAGAACTGGCTAACAGAACCCAGAAGCAGCAAGGCTGGATGGAAGCAGCAGGAGAAAAAAATCAAGGGAGTCCTTAAACTCCGAGGTGTTGGTGAAGACTTAGGGAGTTGCCGGGGAGGGTGCTGCTGGTTGGGGGTGTGAGTGGTATGTGGACTCCTTCCACCGAGGGCCCCACGCTTGGAGCCAAGTGTGACCTCATTTCATCCTTGTTTTGCAGGCAAGGAAACTGAGACTCAGAAGGGAGGAGGGACTTCTGCTCGGAAGTTGGTGAGTGGCGGGGATTCCATCACCGACACACCCTGGAACACCCATCTGGCCATTCCAGAAACACCCCTTCCAGCCAGCTAGTTCCCTTGTTCCAGCCTCTCCGCGGAGCACGGGTGTGTGTGTGTGTGTGTGTGTGTGTGTGTGTGTGTGTGTGTGTGTGATTTAATCGCTCAGTTTTGTCAGACTCTGTGACCCCATTGACTGTAGCCCACCAGGCTCCTCTGTCCAGGGAGTTCTCCAGGCAAGAATAGGGTAGTGGCCTGCCATTTCCCCCTCCAGGGGATCTTCCCCACCCAGAGATCCAACCCGGGTCTCCTGCATTATAGGCAGATTCTTTGCCGTCTAGCCACCAGGGAAGCCTATCGCACCTTAGGGATAGAGCTCCTTCTCTTCCCCCAACGGGAGGGTGCCACTGGGCGGGAGGGCCCTGGGCCAAATCTGTCCCACGAAGTGGATGCTCGGTGAGCCTCCACGGCAGGAAAATCAAGTGCCTGGAGCTTCACCCTGGAGAGAGCTAAGCCGGTCTTACCCACCCCCGAGCTCCGCAGCCGGGCTGGGGGCGCCCTCGGGGCGAGGTCGTCCCGGTTAGGGCTGGGGCTGCAGCGCGCGATCCTCCTTCGCCCGAGGACAGGGAGCGCTGCCAAGGAGAGGCCCCAGCTTTCAGAGCCCGCAGACCTTTCGTGCCCAACACTCGGGGCGACCCGAGGTCAGAAGATAAAGCCGCCGCCACTCTCTCCACTGATGCTCCGGGGTACACCCTGAGCTGGCAGGAATGGCGAGCCGGAGGCCGCGAAGGGCACGCTGTCACCTCCCCAGCCCCGCTGCTGGCAAAGACCTGGCGTCGCGGGAAGTCGGGATCGAACGTCTGGTGCGGGTCGGGACAGTATCAGCGCGCCCTGCCTCTACGATCTCTGAATGTGTACTGGGATCGCATTTCCACTTTGGAGATCCAGAAGCTTACCGAGCGACCGCGGGAAGCCGCGCGCGGCATATACTCCCCAGCCCAGCTCCAAAGTCCGCGCCTCGGATTAGCTGCGCCTCCCTTCCAGTTCAGCATTTGATTTTCTAATCAAGCTCTTTGTCCCCTGCGGCCTGAACCCGAGCCCCCAGCTTCCCCATTTCCCCTCAGGCCCCGCCTGGGTCTCGCTCTCGCCCGACTTTCCCGTCGAAGGCAGTCGAGTGAGTGATTCGGGAACCGAGGCCGAGGCCGGCGGGTCCGCGGCGCGGGCCGGGCTGTATGGAAATGGCCCGAGGAGCCGGCGGGCGCGGCGGCGATTTATTCTGGGAGTGACAGCCCCTTTGAGCGCTCAGCGAATGGCATTTTCTGTCTGTGAAAGCCTTTCTTCCCACCTCTGTTCAGATTAGCCCGGGGGATGAATGCGCCCATTATCCAGCCCGCTGACCATTCTGAAACGCCAAATTAATTACTAAGCACTGAATCAGGCGCCGGGGCCGGGGCACCGGGAGGTGTGAAAATAGCGAGCGACTGGAGCTGGGGAAGGCGAGGGGCGCAGCGCCGAGAGGCCGGGCGGGGTGGCCTGGGGCGCGGGCGCGGGCGCGGCGGGTCTGGGGGCGGGCTTGGCCGGCCGCCGAGCGTGACCTGCCGGCGTGACCGGGCGCGACCGCGGGGCGAGCGGGCTGCCGGGGCCCCGAGCGGGCGGCAAGGCGCGGAGCCGGGTGGCGGCTCCCGCGGGTTGGGCTAGCTGGGGGTGCGGCCGGAGCGCGCCAAGTGAGCGGGGCGCGGGGCCGAGGCTGGAGCGTGCGCGGGGCGCCGGTGCCTCCCGGGCATCACCGCCCGGGACAGCTGCCCCCAGACGGCCCCAGTCCGCGGGCGCCCCGCCGTCCCCTCCCAGGCGCTCGCCGCTCCAGCTGCCCTCCGAGGCCTTCAAACTTGCGCGCCGCCCGGCCACCACGACCCCCGGCTCGAGCTCCCCGAGAGCGGGGCCGCCCGGAGGCCGCCTCCCCGGGCCCGGATTCCGGTTCGGCGGACCGCACTTACCTCCCGAGGCGCCGGGCGGGAGAGGGAGGCGAGCTCTCGGCGGCTCCCGCTGGAGTGCGCTGGGCGCAGGGAGCGCGCGCCTTTAAGACTCTTCCCCGAGACTCCGCCAGGTGGTGTCAGGCCGGCCGGGCCCTCTCGGCTCGGCACCCCCGCGGCCACCCTGCTCCCCAGCCCGCCCCGGGCGGAACCCGGCCGCTCGCTCCCCCCTCGGCGCCCCGCCGAGCCCGCGCCAGCGGAGTGGAGCCCGAAGCTCGGGGGGACAGGATGGGCGGTGATTTGGGGACACACGGATGCTCAAGAGGGAGGTATCCATCCTACCCACTCTAGCTTAGGCGGATGGAGGAATTTCTCTTTGGCCGGATGCTGGGGGTGGGGGAAGAAGAGGCGAGGGAAGAAGAGGCGAGGATCGAGAAGTCTAGTCCGAGGACGTGGGGTTCGGTCCTCACTGTCGTCACCCCGGGACGCGCCTGAAGTCCGCGCTAAACTGGTCCTCTCGTCCTTGATTCAAGATGGCGAGTGACACGCCTCCCCCAGTCACCGCTGACATGACCGAAGTGTTAGAGAACTGTCGCCAGTTAAAACTGGGGCCAGTTAAAACAAAAGTTTTAGAGGACCCATGGGAAGGATGAAGTAACTCCACCTTGCACAGGCGAGAAGCCGGGGTCGGCCTGGGATGCGCAAAGAGCACCCCTATCTCCTGATGCCCCCTAGGAGCCCAGGGTGGTGAGCTCGCTAGCCGCCGGCACCTGGGGACCCTCCGCAAACTCACCGCCGGCTGCAGCGCACACGTTTGCAGGCATAAACTGTGATTCTAGCTTCAGGCCATTATTAAAATTTTATATGTGTCTTCTCTTTCAAAAGTATTTTTTTTACATTTGTTGAGATTTCAAACTGCACTAATAGTTAACTCAGTTTTTCTGTCTTCATCGTTCACTGCTATTTCTTTTATATAAACGTCTTCCTCATCCCGGAGTTCCTTATTTTGAGTAATCTCTAACAGAACTGAAACTTACTTTTGAGTAACGGTGGGGGGGGGGGGGCAGGGGAGGGCATCTGGGTGGTGGACTTTTTTAGTCTGTTTATGTCAACAGATGTCTCTTAACTTCTACAGACACTAGTCGGATATAGGATCCTATAGGATATAGGCTCCATACTTTATTTACATTTATGACACTGCAAGATAGGGATGTCTTAGCATAAAGCAGGGAGGCAGGTGGAAAATACTTATTATGATCTGTGACCCATGATCTGGGGGAATCCATGAAGTGACTCTTTGTGACTATTATTGATTCATCCATCTTCTGATTTTTAGAATCACAGAAATTTCACCCAGGTTCTAGAGAATAACATCATTCGAAGTCTTTCATCTTTTGGGGGCCATCTGGCTTCAGTGTACTTTGTTAAAAGAAAAAAATATATGGGTTCTGTTACTGCCTCCTTTACTAATTGTCCCCCAGGGCTAGTCCCATCTCTCTTCACATTCAGTGCTTCTCCCATAAAAATGAACAAATTGGGCTGCCTGACTGCTGTGGTCCTATCTAGCATCAATGGTCTGGGAGCCTAAAAAGCAATGACCCAGCCCAGGGAGAGACCACTTCACACCAACTAGGACGCTATAATAGAAAAGACAGATAATTACAAGTGTGGGTGAGGGTGTGGAGAAATTGGAACCCTCCTGTGTACTGGTGGGAATGGGGAAAAAAAAAAAAATTATGGCCACTAGAAAAGACTGGCAGTTCCTCAAAAGGTTAAACATACAGTTTTCACAGGATCCAGCAATTCAACTCCTAGGTATATACTCAAGAGAAAGGAAAACATATGTCCACACAAAAACACCTGTACACAAATATTCACAGTAGCACTAATCACAGTAGCCTCAAAGTGGAAACATCCCACATGGCCATCAATCAATGAATCAATAAATAAAATCTGGCATATCAAAATAATACAATATCATTCAGCCATAAAAAGAATGAAGTACTAATACACACTACGACATGGATGAATCTTGAAGACAGTATGTTAAGTGAAAGAAACGAGTCACCAAAGGTCCTATATTGTATGGTTCTATTTACTATGAAATGTCTTTAGAATAGGCAAATCCATAAAAGGCAGAAAATAGATTTGTGGTTGCCTAGGGCTGGGGCTGGAGGTTGAGTGTGGAATGAGTGCTAATGGGAGTGGGCTTTCTTTTAGGGGTGATCAAAACTGATTGTGGTATGTGTGTGCTCAGTCGCTCACTCATGCCCGACTCCCTCTTTGCAACCCCATGGACTGTATAGCCTGCCAGGCTCCTGTGTTCATGGGATTCATCTCCTGTGTTGGCAGGCAGATTTTTTTACCACTGAGCCACCCGGGAAGCCAAAATATAGAGAGAAATACTATATTCTGTGTGCGTGCTCATGCTCAGTCAACTCCATGAACTGTCGCCCTCTGGGCTTCTCTGTCTATGGAATTTTCCAGGCAAGAATACTGGAGTGAGTTGCCATTTCCTACTCCAGGTGATCTTTCCAGTCCAGGGATCGAACCTGCATCTCTTTCATCTCCTGCATTACCTAGAGGATTCTTTTACCACTGGGCCACCTGGGAATCCCTATTGGGTTACACAACTCTGTGAGTATACTAAAAGCATTGTATTGTACACTTTAAGAGGATTAATTGTATGGTACATGAATTGTGTCTCAACACAGATATTATATTAAAAAATATTTACCATGTCTGTGTTCTCACGAAGCCACAGGATACCTGGGGGATTAGCCAGTTCAGGACCTATGACCTGCCCAAGGAATCAAGCCCCCTCCTCACACTTACGCACAAATGTTTCCACGGCCCATACAAAAGCAAGACTTTTCTGGATCTTGTTCAGTCGCTAAGGCACATCCGACTCTTCTGCATCTTACCATATCCTAATACTTAGGTGTAAACTTTCTATTCTTCTTCCTCTCTGTTGGAAATCCTCCAACTGGCTGCAGGTAGCCCTGCAGACTCAGTAATCTGATTCTCAGAACAGGGTCTCACAAGACAGCAGCCACTTGCAAGACTATAGCACAGTTATTAAGAGTAGCAACCATGGGGCCAGACCTCCAGAGTTCAAATCCCAGACCTGTCTCTCACTAGCTACCTGACATGGTCCAGTCACTTACTTTCTCTTTTCCTCATTTCCCCATGTGCAAAATGAGGATAACAGTGCCTGTTTCATAGAGATTATGTCAGGATTAAATGAGTTAATATACCTAAAATGATAGCATCTGGTGGACTATCCTAAGTGTTGCTGTGCTGTGCTGTATTGGGCAAGTCGCTCAGTCGTATCGTCCACCCCATGGACTGCAGCCCACCAGAATCCCATGGATTCTCCAGGCAAGAGTACTGGAGGGGGTTGCCATGCCCTCCTCCAGAGGATTTTCTTAAGTATTAGCTGATGGTATTCCTCAGAGATGCAGGTTAAAGCACAGACCTGCCACTTTCCCATGTCCCACTAGGTGGTGCAATGGCACCACTTTGGGTAATGAAAATGGCCCCCGGGGTCCCTTGCACAGTTAACTCTGGACTTTGATAAACCATGCAAATAGTGTTAACTTTGCATAAAGAGTGTCACAGTGGTTCCACCTGTGAACCATATGCAATAATATCACCTACGGTGCGGCAAATTTCTCTCACTGGGGCCACTCACTGGGAAAAAAGTTCTCTCCGATCCGGAGAAACTAGTGTATATGCACAAATAACATGCATGGTCTGAGTGAAACGTTAGCTCCGTTACCAGCTCAGGTGCAGCCACCCAACCAAGGCTGTGAGGCCTTTGTGTATGTAACACACATAATTTCTCCCTGTATCAATACAATGTCCTGATGGTAATATTAGGAAGAAATCAAGAGTTATGCAAAGTAAAATAACTGCATTTCAATATGCAAATACTATGAACAGAATTACCAAGATGACCCTGAGAACAATGATCACTGGTAGGTGTCTGTCCCTCTGGTGGTTCAAACACCTTGAGTGATGTTGCCCTGGGCAACATGATTTTCCAAAGTGTTACCAGTTTTTGGTCAAGTTGCTTTCCTGGAAAACGCTAGCGTGTGTTAAGACTGTGAATCAAAACAAAACAAACACTTTGTGTTCACAGACAAAATAAAATCAGGCTCCAGGCATAGAGGGTTTCTCATCATTATGAACATCCAGTGGGACATTTAGAAGTTGTAGAGGAAGCTGTGTTGTAGCGTCCCCTATATGCAGTGCAGACGTCTGGCACCTCTGGTTTCTGACTGCTAAAATAGTAGTAGTGGCCCCAACAGCGTGGCAGCCAAGGCTACTTCACCACAGATTTTCAGCTGAACAATAGCATCTCTGCTGAGAGCCCCTGGTCCAGGGTCAAAATGGCTTTGGGCATTTCCAGCAAAGCTGGCACTCAATCCGCTTTGGACTCAACTTGTAAAAGGCATTGGCTTTTCTCTAGTCTACACAAATACGCTTGTCTGGGACCAGAGCCGGGACTCGAAGGGGGTTCCAGAAGAGAGGGAGGCTGTGGCTTTCCTCTAAGTATCTCCTTTCTTTGTCCAGGAAGAGGAGGCCTGAGGAGGCAGGCTGGTCTCGCCTGCCAATCTTGGGCACAACCCAGTGGTCTGTTTGAGACTTTTCCTAAAACCCAGCTGGGAAGTAAATCAGCACAGACATAATCCTGATTTTAGCCACAGGGGCCAGGGCCTCTGAGCAAACCCCTGGCTTATGAGAATTTCCTGCTGTACATTTGCTTGGCATGTCAATCTCAAAGCTATTCTTGTTCTGCTTTCTCAAGGATGGGGCCAGCAGGTCCAGGGCTCCTGGGGACAAGGTTTTGACATACTGGCATGTACAGACTTGCTCGCTGGCTCCATTAATTATGTCCACCTCCACCTGCTATGGGGCATTTTCCGGTCCGTGCATCTGGTCCCTCCTTTCTCTCAGCAGTTATGGGACCAGTTTCCCGCTCCCCGCCCCAACTTTGAGCTTGCTTGTCTTGAGAAGCAGGTATTACACGATCGTCCCCCCCCCACACACACACACACATACCCCCGCTGGTATTCCT